GCAATAACCTGAGTCCAATGAGGATAAAGATTTGCCACTTCTGCAAGCCTATCAATTTTCATCTTTATCTCAATTATATTGCGACCTGTGGTCATCAATTTCAAGATCCATTTTTCCCGCATAAACTCATAAAGTACAATAAAAGTACAATCAAAATACTCAACTAATTGCACAAAATTCAAATAATTGCTAAGGAGATTAAAAACGGCAAAGCTGCTGAAAAGTGACCTCTGGCAGGCAGCGAGCTCCACAGTGAGTAGCCCAAGACACCCAGGGATGCTTCTCAAAGCCCCCAGTCTGGCTCCACCTCATTCTCGCCCCTCACGGTGGCCAATGGGAGCTTCTAGGCCACCCCAAAGCTTACAGATTCCACAATGCTGTTCTTCTCTAAGTACTGGCCAAATAAAAAAAAATGCAACCTCTAATGACCTCTCACCTAAAAACATAACTTCTCCTCTGTCTCCTCACCAGATCCCCGTTCCACTTGTTCAAAGCCCCCCTGTGTGGATAGGCCTCAATTTTACCTTGAAAGAAGGGTGTATGTGGAATTCCTTTTACTACTCTCTGTTCACCCAATTAGCTCTTTTCCCATTTTGGGAGTCCTGCTTGTTAGAGAAGCCTGTCCAACTGATCAAAGAACAGCTGAAACTTCTGTCTCCTCCTCAATTTGGATTTAGAAATCACAAAAGTTACCTTCACCACTCTTGATCTTCTCTCCATCCAGCTTGCCAAGAATCCTCAGAAGTCCTATCTTTGTTCCCACAAAGTATAATTGCTTTTTCTGGGCCTGATTTAAAGTCTTTGCCATCCATTCAGGTCTTCAGTTAATGCTACACTCCTTCAGCTCTCTGCCATATGCTGTAAACTCTAGGGAAAACTGACCTCCTGGGACTCTTGCAGATATTAGCAGCAAATGGAAAAATAAATATATATGCATACATGCGCACACACAAATGCATCTCAAACATTACCACGTATCCATGACCTACTGACAACCGTGGTAGCTAAGTTTCCTCTCTTCCTAGTATTAACCCATTCAAAGCCACCGACTCTAGCCTGAGTTTCTGTTATCAAGTAAAACACCAGTTCCAACAAAAGGAATTGAACTTTCTGGGCTTGGGGGAGAAGCTTATAATACACACAACAAAGCCAGTAAATATAGAATGGCAGAAAGTGCGATCTGCAAACACGCCCATGCTCTGAACCACCAAGATACCTAATTAGGTAAATAGGAAAATCCAGAACGTTTCATATCATCAGTTTCAAAAATTACAAGAAACCAATTATCCCTCAGAGCTGTCATTAGTATATAGCATTTCTCTCGGAAACCCCAATTTTCCTTCCGGGCACAATTCAAAACAGAGGGAAAGGGAAAAAATCAATACTGGAAATGTCAGAGACTTTTCCGGCCAGTGCCTTATGGACATCTCTCAGGGCTTCCGCAGATCACACAGCTTGTCTTCTCTGTGTGCAGACATGAGATAAGCACAGTTTTCCTACATGATTTCTCTTGGCCTCACCCGGGGTCATTTTCATTATTTCCCACTCAGGAAAGTGGGAAATGTGTTAAGACTCACAGAATGTAAAATAAGAACGTTCGCTTTCAAAAGCAGAGCCACAGAAAGGGCTGTACGAGTGGCAAGCTCGGAGGCGGGGGTCAGGGTGAGGAGACAGACTTGACTGCTGAATGCAGATGCCTGGGCATGGCCATCCGAGCCTCTGCAGTGCAGAGCCCAGCACCCAGGAAGCTCATCTTTCACCTTTCCCAACAGCCAGAGCCATGGTTTTGGTGACTTTCCTGTCCACTCCTGGGTTCCATTCCTCATCTGTCCTCAGGCCTTCCTTCTGCCCCTTTACTGGAGGAACACACTTTCTAGCATTCCTCCTGATTTTCCCTCCTGAAACGACATCTGACCGTCGAATGTGAAGGCTAAGCTCGCCTCTACAAGCCTTCCCTCTGGGACGTGCCTCCTTATATGGAGATTTCTTCTGTAAAATGAATGGTTTGAAACCAGCCCATTTTTAAGCAATAGCTGGTAATGGGCTTTCCAAATCTGAGTCTCTCTTGAACCACCTGCATGACTAGGGCCAGAGCCAGGGCCACCTACGTGATTATTCTTTGCATACTATTTTTCTTATATCAATCCACTTTTTAAACACATAAATATGTTTAAAACCGAAACCATAGCAACATCATTTACACTAAGTGAAATGGAACTCAACGATCAACTCAATGCCAACAAAATAATGTTAAGAAATCCTAACTAGTCAGTGTCCCTAGCTGAAGACACTAAGTTCGAGGACTTCTCCTCCTTATTCAAACAAGAGAGATTACGAAGTCCTGAAGGAGGGGAGAGGACACCATGGTGCAACTCAAGATCCTCTCTAGCACAATCCCAAGGGTGAAAGGAAAATAAAAGAGGAGAGCAGTTTCTAACCACAAGGCCTAATGTTATTTAATGTCATTGCACGCATCACCTAAAATCATTTCAGTGATCTGTGGCAGAAAATCCCTCCCTCTCTCCCAAGAAGGTTTACTGAGTATCTACTATATTCCAGGAACTTTGCAGGGAGTGGAGAACCGAGAGAGAGAGAGAGAGAGAGAGAGAGAGAGAGAGAGAGAAAGAGAGAGAGAGAGAGAGAGGGAGGGAGAGGCAAGCAAGGCAAGCAAGGCAAGCAAGGCAAGCAAGGAAAGCAAGGCAAGCAAGCAAGCAAGCAAGAAAAAAGCTGTGTGCCCACATGACACTTAAAATCTATAAAAAAACAACAACAACAACAACTGTATCTAGGAGAGCCTTGTTTCCAGATCAGCACCTTAAATAAACTTCGATTTAAAACTGTGAAAACCAGTCCTCGCCCCCACCCCTGGCAAGAGACTCTATTCCCATGGCAGCTTCTCTGATTAGGTTCCCGATAGGAAATGACAAGTGGTTATTAGTTTTTAAGCATCTGGCATGCTTTGTAAGCAGTATTAACCGCCCCCAAAAACCTCAGGGCTTCCCAGATAAACAAGTCCCCACCCAAACACCCCTTCCTATCCGCCCTAGGGGTAACCCCCAGCGCCAAAAGACAAACGACATTTAAAACCTGATTGAAACCACACCAAACCATGGAGCTTTTAAATGTCAAGGAGGATGGCAATTCAACTCAGCAGGTTTCTCCAGGACTGACTGAAAAACCACTTCTCTGTAGTTAGATTTTTAAAAAATCAATCAGTAGAGACGGCAAGAGAAGAGAATGAGGCCAAGACTGACCTTTGAGTCAAGGGCAACTGAAATGATTCACATTTGTGACTAATTATCTCTCTCTTAATCTTTATGTTTGTCCCTCCCTGAACAGGAGCTGTCTTCCAAGCAGCTGAGACATATGACCGGATTGAATTCCAGGCTTCTGTTGGGTCTTGGTTTGTCCAGATTTAGAGGAGTTGTCCGTGTGTGTGTGTGTGTGTGTGTGTGTGTGTGTGTTTAAACTGCCATGTCATTCTTTTAAAGTGCATGTAAAAGTTTAAGCTTCCTGAATCTCATAAAGAAAAATTATAAAAGGATGCCCGTACTGTTTCAAAACCTAAAATCTCTTTAAACTGTCTTAAAAGCATGCTCTATTTGGATACAGAATAATATTGCTAACCTGAAACCAAGATGTTATGCATTGTATGCTACTTTTCCATTAAAAGAGATGGATTACACCTTAGAATAACACATAGGCACTTATATAAATTTAGTAAGCACTTATTACTGTCTTACTCTCTCTGCTAGTCACTGAGCACTTTTTATAAATAACTTATTTAGTCTTCACGACAACTCTATAAGGTTTGGTCCTATTACTGTTGTTTCACAGAAAAGGAAATACAGAGAGGTAAAGCAACTTGCTCAAGGTCACACAGCTAGTAAGTGGCTATGCTGGGCACTGAACCCAAGCACTCTGCCTCTAAAGGCTGTGATCTTGACCACTACCCTATACTGCCCCCCTACACACTATGTACAGAGGACTTTACATGTGTTATTTCACATAAAGCATATAATCTTTTAAGATAAGTTGTATGTTTAGTTGCATTTTACAGATGAGGAAACCGAGGCACAGGGAGGTGAAACAGCTTGCCCACTCAGCAAATGAATGAGAAGTGGGGATTCTGACTTCACTAAAGTGCTGTCCAGTCAGTTACTCCTTGTCACCCAACACTCCCCATTCCCTCTCTACCATATGACTTTGGATAGAGTCATGAAAACAGCTTGTGTCTGTGAATGAGAAACTATCCTCTGATTGGTCCTGGAACCTTAAACTCACTAGCTTTACACTAGCTTTATAGACAGGGGAGAAGTCTGACTGATCCAGACAGTGGATCCAGATGTGGTATGATTCAGGGTCCCCTGGGGGATCCCCACGGTCAAAACTATTTTCTCGGTAATACTAAGCTATCTGTTTTTTTCCCTTGCATTATCCACGTGTTTACAGTGGAGTTTCCCCAAAACTACATGACATGCAATATCATTACAAGTTGAAAGTGAAGCAGGTATAAGAATCCAACTGTCTTCTATGAAGCCAGACAATGCAGACATCTCCTGACTATTTTATTCTGAGAGTTATTTTTCATAAAAATGTAATTAGCACTAATATGTAATAGGCTTATTACTTAAATTAAGACATATTTTAAAGCTCTTCAGGTTTAATTTCTATAATGGTAAAGACAGACATAAGACAAATAATGGAACCATCCTTACTATTCTTTATTTTGATCCAGACAAGGATCAAAATATTTTATGAGTGTAAAGGGGTCCTGAGACCAAAATGCCTGAGAACTGCTGCATGGGACTGGGATCTCCATTAACTGCCGGGACACTCAGGCCTGGTACTCCTCTGCAATGCACAGCACACAGCAGGGACTAGGGATATGTAATTTTGGCTGTTGAAAGAATGTCCAATTGTACAGTACTGGCCACCCCCTTTAGGTCCATGCCCCCACATGCATGATAATGACGGATGCTCATATCCACACAGCTTACCTGAAAATAGTCTGTAATGAATGATCCAAGTTCACTCTTCAACAGCCGCCTGGGGAGAAGGGAGAAGAGAAACACCGTCAAGCGGCCCTTGATGGTACAGCTCATGGTGACAATGTGCTCACCAGTGGCATGGAGTGGGACCAGGCCTGAGAAGTTGGGGACACTTTCTTAGGTCCTGGTCCCCCTGCCCCCATTGTTATCATGGAATTGCAGCAACGGAAATCCTAGAAGATGTGTTCCTCAGTTCACTCTGAGAAAGTAGCACTGTGAAGAGGGCAGCCAGCCACAGGAAATCCTAATTCTAGCAGAGCTGCTAAGGGCAGGCCAGGGCACCAGGTTTATATGAAGCAAAAAGAAGAAGAGAAAGACCATCATTTTGCACTCCTCCACATTTGCAGAGCACTTTATAGTTTAAAACACATTTTTCATACATTCTTCAACCAAGGATTATAAAGTGTATGTTGGGGGGGGTAGGAGTAATTATTATTCTTCCTGTACAGATTTAAAAAATTATGCCTCAGAGAGTTCCCCAAAACAAGTCAGTGGCAGAGCCAAGATTTGAACCCAGACTTTTTGCAAAATCAACATCTTTTCCCATAACTCCACCCTGTCTCTCCTCTAAATCCAGAACCCCTCCCCCAACCCTGACTTAACATTCAACTTGGTACCATGGTTTGGGTGGTCTTATAACCCATGCCCAATGGACTGAAGCAGTCTTTAAGGTGGACCACAGCAGGGAGAACAGAGAGATTTTATTTATCCAGCAATGAATATGTGTTGAGTGGCTCTTTATGTGTTACACGTCGTTCTAGCACCAGGAGTTCAAAGGTGAATAAGACAGACAAGGTCTCTGCTCTCTTCTTGGGGGCTGATGGATAGATAGCATGTTAATAAATACACTCACAAGATGATTTCAATGAATCTTAAGTGCTAATAAAATACAAATGGAAAATAGGGATATTGACGCCAGCTCTCCTCTGTGACAAATAATGGAACCACCCATACTATTCTTTATTTTGATCCAGACAAGGTAAGGGAACAAAAAAACAAGAATAACTTGCTCCCCAGATCCAGTGAGTTCCCTAGGGAGTAAACCCTTCATGATTTCAAATGGTTTTCTTTACTCATCCCATTGGCTATGGCTAATAAGGAGCAAATGCTCAAGTTTCTGACAACCCTTGCTGAGGATTCACTCCCCCAAAACATGTTCACTCATGTCACTGAAGGATAAACAGGAGGTTACAGCAAGATGTTGTTTTGTGCAGAGAAAACAGGCACAATAAAATTAAGACAAAAAAAGAGAGAACCACACGATTTGAATTTCTGTGCCAGAAAAAGCCCTGGAAAACCACAAACACACGTTGAACAAAGAAAATACCTTCCTTTTCCCATGACAGAAAATATGTCTCTCGTGGATGCTGCATTTTGAGGGCCAATTTAATGGCAGTCTCATGGAGGGCCACCCGGTCAACACAACCCAGGGGTTCTCCCAGATGTGGGCAGGTCTGATCCAAGAGAAGGAAGCCTTTGTCAAAAGCCACTGGACTAAGAGCAGGTTGGGCATCACTAGTCTTTGAGGCAGAGGCTAGATGTGTCTCTCAGACAGGAAGCAGCAACCTATGGGGCAGCCTAAAGTGGATGGAGGCTTTGAAACAGGAAGAGGTAAGAAGATTGCTTCTGACCACAGGAGGGAGAAACACCTTCTAACAAAGTCCTCGTGGTCCTTGGGAAGTCTCAACGCCATAGGTGAAGAAGCCAAGCTTTGCGCACAAGTGGAAAAACAAGTCCTAACAATAGGCTACTTAGGGCAGAGCTTCCCAAGGAGGTATCTTGGGTACTCATGATGCTGAGGGACTAACATGGTTCTGAGATCATGTAATATGCTGTGGAATTGGTGTCCCAAGGAACCCACAGTGGGAAAACACCGTGCTCATGAAGATGCCATGGGTAAGACTGAAAAAGAAAGAGGTCGGGGTTAAGGGGGCCTTCAAGATAAAAAACTATGGACATCCTCCTGGAGAGCAGCATGGAGGAGGGATCTATGCTGGTGTCGGAATTATGAGTTTGGGCTGGATATGATTGAACAAGTAAAGGTTGCCCCAGGCATCTCACAGTGGGATGCAGACAAGCATCCTGATGCTACCCAGTTGAGGAATCCAAGACATCTCCTCTCCTCCTATCAGGGAAGGCAGGAAGGGGCTTCACTCTACCGGGAGGGCGGAAGCCCAGGAGCCTTACATTGCAGCAAGCCACAGCCAAGGCCAGAATTCTGCAGAGGGTCCCAGGAAGAGAAGTCTAGGTAGAAATCAGCCTAACAGAGCAGAAGCTAAAGAGCAGACAATGCAACTTCCAAGACAAAGACTTAGCAGAAAGGACTCTGAAGCTAGAAGCATGTATAACAGAGGTGATGAGATGGTAATGGGGAAGAATAAAGAAGTAGAACATGAAGAGGGGCCTTCCACCATGCTGATAGTGATAACTATTTCTTTACTGAGGAGGAACCAGACGTGATGTGGTCATCTGCTTTATATACTTTAAATATAATGGTCCATAGCCAGGTATAGTAGGAGAACCACACACTTGTTCTTTTATCAAATCTAGAATGCAAAGCCTTCTCCACTAGGTACTGTTCATAGACTTATCTGAACAGAAAAGACCTTACTGATCACTTAAGGCAAGATTCTATTGCTCTACGTGGGCAAGTCAGTAAGCTACACTGCCCTTATTCCTTATAAAATCCTGCCTTCTGTCTGGGCATGATAACATGGTTAGACAGCGTCACATGTCACATATGTGCAGAGTTTTTCGTTGCAGCAAAATATAGAAATCAACATAAATATGCAACAATAAAGTGCTAATAAAAAGATTATGTTCATCCAGGCAATGGAATTCTATGCAACTATTTAAAAAAGGGAGTGAAAAAGTGCTCTAAATAATGACATGAAAGATTTAAGTCATAGTAAGCAAAGAAACAATGCAAGATACAGAACAGTGTGTACATACAACAGGCTATCTTATAAAATAGGAAGAAAAAAACAAGAATACATATTTTAGTTTATATAACATTAACACATTTGTTGGTTAATTCCACTCTTCCACTCTTATAACTTGCTGTTCAAATCTGTATTACTATATGAATGGGTTTCCCCATAGGCCCTTAGAATTGAAATATATAGCTCCTTGATTTTTAAACACAGAGAACACAAATACATTTTATTTATTTTTTAATTCATTAGCTGTTTTTTATTGAGACAGAGTCTTACTCTGTTGCCCAGGCTGGAGTGCAGTGGTGCCATCTCAGCTCACTGCAACCTCCGCCTCCTGGGCTCAAGCGATTCTTGTGCCTCAGCCTCCTGAGTAGCTGGGATAGCAGGCACCCAACACCGCTCCCAGCTAATTTTCGTACTTTTGGTAGAGATAGGGTTTCATCATGTTGGCCAGACTGACCTCGAACTCCTGACCTCAGGTGATCTGCCCACCTTGGCCTCCCAAAGTGCTGGGATTACAGGCATGAGCCACTGTGCCCGATCCACATATGCATTTTTTTTAATCATATGTTAAAAAGTACTGGGTTGTGTGTCCTCTTCTCCATGTCTACACGTAAAGCCTTGGAGAAGCTTGAAGTTGTTGCTGGAAATTACGTAGGGCAACACAACACTTTAGCCGATCCGATTCCCTGAAGTTTGGGGAAGATGCTGTCCTGCAGACACCACATCACCAGACCCCACTCCAGTCCACAGACCTTGTACAAAGTATCCACTATTATCAACTGTGTTTCCGTATGTATTTCTTATATATGCATAAAGAAACTCTGGAAGAATACCCAATAAGTTATTGTTACTAATACTTATCTCGAGGAAGAGAGAATGGAAAACTGGTTTCTGGGATACAGGGGTGGGAGACTCTACTGTATACCCTTGCTATATGTGTAAAATTTTTGAACCACGTCAATACAATCCTATTCAGAAACAAATTTTTAAGATCTTTAAGTTAATAACCACCACCAAGATTATCGCAGAATGGTCAGAAGCCCGAGAAAGAATCGCAGGAGTAAGTCCCTATCAAGGGCACATCAGGAAGCAGGGTGGGTACCAGCTAACAGAGAATCCCACAAGTCCTGGGAACCCACCAGTCCAGACCTGCCTCAAGCTGATAATCCAAGAATCCTTTTTCCCAGGATTATAGAGAGTGAAGAGATGAGGAAAGGGGGCCAGGAGTCCCCAGCAGTGCTGGCTAGACCAGCCTGTGAGCAGACCGTGGCTGAGTCATGTTGCAAATCTACAATCCATGTCTATACTCTGTTTATTCTGCTTGCATTGGTTTATAAGGAAAGAATGTTTCTGAAGAAACCTCTATCTTGTCTCAGCTGAATTGAGAGAAGGGGATTTTCCACACCTCTGTTCCAACACACCATCTCCAGTGGAACTTGGCAGACACTTCCCCACTTAAAAGATACCTTCCCCCATCAAAAAAAGAAGGAACTCAGAGTGGAGACCCCATTAATTAATTATTTGACTCTTAACCATTTACTGAAAACAAAATGTTATGTGTTAGACATGGTGCTGGATGCCAGAAGAAAAGGATGAAACAGCTCAATGATTTCTCCTGTGCCCCACGAGAGAGTGATCTGGTCCACTCTTTTATAGGGCATAGGAGGTTCATCTTACCCAAAAGATGAGAATAAAAAATATCAAGGCATTAGATACCTAGGCCAAAATCACAATGGGACAATTCACCCTATAGCCTTACTCACGTTTACCAATTTAATTTGTAAAGGACAAGAAAGAAGAGAAAAGCTGGAGAGAGACAGCCAAATTAAAGAGGCTGTGGTTTGTGGTTCCCTAGATGCAGGAAAGATGAAAATCTTGATTCCTAACACCTAGGCCGTAAGCTCCTTGGAGGCTCAGGCCTAGAATCTGGCAGCCTCCCTTCCACTTTTCCCGCTCTATCCTAGGGTTGCTGCCCTGTCAACAGAAAAGCAATTACTTGTTAGAACAAACATCATCATAAGGAATAATAAACAAATTGCTCTTAGGATGGAACCCGGCA